GGAGCCAGCACCTGACATTGATCTGATACAGTCTGTCACACAGCATCACCATGAAGTTTGCTGAACATCTGACAGCCCACATTACTCCGGAGTGGAGGAAACAGTACATAAGTTATGAAGTACGACTTTGTATCGTTTTTGTACTGCAGTGGGAGTCTCAAAATTGCTTGCTTCAAAGGCGTCTGACTCTTAAGTCAAAGACTCGTTTTGCTGTGCTGCAAATCCTGAGTTGTCTTCACTCGCGAGGACTCCTCTGACCTTGAAGCGTGCAGTTTCGTGGTAACTACTGCAGAGTACTTGACTAATTACAGAGAATTTGATATAATTTAATGTTTTAATATTTAATAAGAAATTTATTGTGATTAGACGGACAAGATTTAAATAATACATATTTATTATATCACAATATGACGCAACTTTACCATCTCATAATTTAATGGGTAAATACAGAAAGTTACGTATTGAAATTACCCAGGCTGATTTTGGAACGAGTCCAATTTATGTTTTACGTGATAATGTGTCTGTCATTTTATGAACGTCTTACATTTAGTTAATTTTGACTATACTTAATTAAATGTAGGCTCATAGTAAATTTATAGTTTAATTATAAGATTACTTACTACAAATCGTGTATGGTACATTTATTTTTGCGTTTGTTCAAGGCGTAATGTCGTGTGAAAGAATTCTAGCTGATCTTCTTTTGTTTCTGGAATTAAATTTAGACATGGCTTGTGAATTTTGTAAGGGGGTGATGTATAATAATCCCGAGATGCTCAGTTTAAGAGTATTTTGGATGAAGACGTAACTACTTTTTGTCAATATTTAATTAGAATTAATTAGTTTTTACAAGAAATCTGATTTTAAAAATATTTATTACAACATTCATTTACGAAAGAGCTTGTGTGCATGAAGGGTTTATGTCGTCTTGATTGTGTTCCAGGAAATGAAGGCGATGTTGTATGCAGCTGTTGAGGAAGCCCCTTCTGCAGAATCAGTAGAACCAGAAGTTCTCAGAAGACACTTCGCCAACTTCGATGAACATTTTTTCCATTTCTGTGATCATGAACTCACAAAAATAAATACATTCTACTCGGGTAACTACCAGATGATGACAATTTTATTTTAAATGGAAATAAATTCGTTCTTCTGGGTTGTAGACTTGTAGTTGCTGTATTTATGTTCTTATCTCGTAGACTCAGATTAGTCGTCTGTTTCACGAGCGAGAGATGTTTTTGTTGTGGTTCTCATTGTATGATTCTGGAACATTCCTAACTTTACTCCAGCTAGAAAATTCAGCTGAAAAGGCATTAAAGTATTTATTTAATAACAAGGAAGTCAACAAATTAAGAAATTGTTGGTTAAGAAGAAAAAAAAGCATAATTAGCAATTGGTGAAGAAAATTAATATTAAGCTATAATTAGTTTGGTTTTGGTGGCATTTTTTCTAAGGCCCAGGCTTATTACGTACATAATTGTATTTATATTTAATGTTGTTTCAGAAAAAATGGCTGAGGCGACGCGTAAATTTGCGGCGTTACAAAATGAATTGAGAATTTCGTTAGGTGACAACCGAAACAACAACAAATCTCAGTTGAGACAGAAGACGGGAGGAAAATCAAACGTTCCGCCTCGCAAGATCCAGGAGCTGAAGCTGGCTTTCAGTGAATTCTATCTCAGTCTGATTTTGCTCCAGAATTATCAGAATCTTAATTTCACAGGCTTCAGGAAGATCCTGAAGAAACATGACAAGGTGCGTTATGATTTGTGAAAAAAAATATCAGTTTGTGTTCAGTGATTCTGTACAGGTCTTTTCGAACACAGCAACGGAGCACGAAGTTATACTCCCTGAAAAATCCTTTGCAATTGCCACATCTTTAATAATTTTTAATAATTTTTTTTTTTAATTTTACCGACAAATTCCAACCTGCAACTCTAATTTGCTCGTTACTTTTTTTTTCATTTTTTTTTTAATTTTACTGACAGATTCGAACCTGCAACTCTAATTTACTCGTTACTTTTTTCCTTCTTTATAAATCAGTTACTGTCGGTGGACACCGGAGTTCGGTGGAGAGTGGAATACGTAGAGACCTCTCACATCAACACGAATAAGGACATAGACCGTCTGATCAGCGAGACGGAGACGACTGTGACGACGGATCTGGAGGGTGGCGATCGTCAGAAGGCCATGAAGAGGCTGAGGGTGCCTCCGCTCGGCGAGCAGCAGAGTCCGTGGACGACTTTCAAAGTGGGGCTGTTCTCAGGCTCATTTATCGTGCTTTTCCTCGTCGTCGTGCTTTCAGGTAAGTCCGTCTTGAGGCACGCGTCGGGAGCGAATGACGCAGACCGTCGTCTACTCACAGTAAATCAGTTCCGATCCCTTTCGTCGGAATGTTGACGTAGACTCGTGACTTAAGATGGCGTTCACACTAGGCAACTTCAGGGCAGGATCGTGACTTGGGCGTCGCGTTTTCATTTATCACCAACAGGTGTCAGGAAAGTCTTATTCTCTGACGGTCATGTACGACGTCTGTTTTGTCATAAGACTGGAAAATGATCGTTGCTACGGCGATGACGCCGCTTCAGATTTTAAGTTGCCGCTTTAGGTAGGGCCTGAGGATGCCCCTGTTTATTTCATAAAATTACAAGTTTTTAGATGTACTTCAATTACTTTTAATGCTTGTTTTGAAATCTATTTAAATATATTTCCTGGCAGCGATATTTCATGAGGGCTCTCGTGACAACCTGAAGGTAGCATTCCGACTGTATCGTGGGCCACTGCTTATCATACAATTCTTGTTCCTCATGGGTGTAAACATATATGGATGGCGCTCGTCCGGCGTGAATCACGTGCTCATCTTTGAACTGGATCCTCGGAACCACCTGTCCGAGCAGCACCTGATGGAACTCGCCGCCATCTTCGGTGTCGTCTGGACCCTCAGTCTGCTCAGCTTCCTGTACAGCGCCTCGCTGAGTATTCCGCCATACGTAAACCCGCTGGCACTCACTGTCATCATGCTTGTGTTTGTCCTTAATCCCATCAAAGTCTTCAGACACGAGGCGCGGTTCTGGGCGTTACGAGTCGTGGTAAGTATTTCCTTATAAGCCAATAATTTTAAATTTATTGATATTTTCCTAACTTTGTGTTAAAATCTGTTTTTACGTAAACAGATTTTTTGTAGGAATTTTAATAAAATATATTTCTCGAGATTGTGTGCATTCCACGTCGAAGCGCGGTGAATTTCTTGAAAAAACTTCCCATGGTAAGAGATTAAACGTGGCAAACTTCTCCGCTAGAAGCCCTACGAGACCGTGACTTCTTTTACTCGTCTGTCCGTAAAATTATAGTAGACGTGAGAGATTGACGGAATCATGTGATGTTCTGTTTTTCTTTTCTTCCACCAGGGAAGGATTCTCGCAGCGCCGTTCTTTCATGTGGGCTTTGCCGATTTCTGGCTCGCCGATCAACTGAACAGTCTCGTGTCGGCACTTCTTGATTTTCAGTTCCTCATCTGCTTTTATGTAAGGAACGGCGACTGGTTAAATGCTGGAGGTACTGTCGCTTTCGCTTCCGGGCGGAATCCTCGTTTAAGGTTACAGGATTAAGAAAAAATTGCGTCCCGATTGGTCAATTTTGATTTTCCTACATAATTAAATTTTTTCGCAATTTTCCGATTGTTGAGTTAAGGTCATTTAAGGTTATTTATTTTCAAATTTGTTTTTCACTACATTTAATAATTTCATTGCTATTGTTGTTTTTCATTGCTATTGTTGATTTTTCTATGACCATTGTTGTTGATTTTTATTGAAATTTGATGTAAGCAAATGTGTTTTGAGCCTGATTCATTAATAATCCCTCTAATCCAGTAAAGTATCGCACGTTGTTCATTTTGTTACTGTTGATGTTGTTAATGTTGATGATGTTATTCGCAGAAACAAGCGAATGCATGGAGAGGGACTGGATTGTGAGACCGATCGTGAACTGCCTTCCGGCATGGTTTCGCTTTGCGCAGTGCCTCAGACGGTACCGCGACACGAAAGAAGCTTTTCCTCATCTGGTCAACGCCGGAAAGTATTCGTCGACATTCCTCGTCGTTCTGTTCGGAACCTTGCGTTCGATGTATGACGGTGAGAATCCTCCTACGTCTGCGTCAAGTCTTTTTTATAATAATTTGTGTTCTTTGTTGATGACTTTAATATGAGGATAAATGAAGAGAAAATTACGTTGTGTTCCAGATGGCTACGAGGATTCGCTGGACAATCCGTATTTGTACCTGTGGGTGTTTGCGTCGATATTAAGCTCTTGCTATGCTTACACGTGGGACATCAAAATGGATTGGGGCTTGTTTGACAGATCAGCGGGCGAAAACAAGTTTCTCAGGGAGGAAACTGTCTATTCATCAACAGTAAGTAGATTCATTTTCATATTTGTAGTAACGCGCTACTATATGTTTCTTCCCAGGTTTTTCTCGAATTAAACTGCACGTAATCGTATTAAACGTACGCTTTGTGATATTAAAGAACGCTGGGTTTTGATTTTTAATTGAGGTAAAATGTTAATTAACTTTTTTAATCTGTCTCTTGACGCAGGCATTAATTATATTTTGTGAGAGTCCAGAGAACGTTACTCCAAGTTACGCAAACATATAATTTATTTTATTTATTTATTATTAGATTCGTTCTTTGTCTTTCACTCCGTGATCCTTTCAGTGCTAAATTTTTCATTTCCAGAGCTTTTACTATTTTGCCATAGTCGAGGATCTCGTACTGAGGTTTTCTTGGGCGTATTCGTACGCCCTTATTGAGGCCGAGTACATCAGCGGAGACTTAATGACATCTATAACCTCGCCCTTAGAAGTGTTTAGGTACGTAATTTGTTTATTAGAATTTTGATTTCGAGTCGTCAGGCTCGAAGTTTTCGCGGCGCTGTGGTCTTTTGAGTTTCGAGTTTGGAGTTGCCTCTGGCTTATGAGTTACTCCGCTCAAAAAATTTGCTGGCATCCTTTGTTTTAATGATGTCGTACCTGCTCTGTGCGTATGGTGACGTGAAGTTTCTCGCCATCGTGCTCTGAACGCAGACGAGGCGAGTATGAATTTTGAGGAATACTTCCCAGGGTTGACCAAATGAGGAAAAGCTTTCTTGGTTTTGGTGTTTTGGAAAAAATGTACTGCTTCCATCTTCAGGGATGAAGACGAAACACAAAAATAAAAACGAGATGGACGTCGTCATGTCTCTCCCTTCTTTCTCTTATATTCTGTTCTGTTCCATTTATTTATTTTTTTTAAAATTAAGAGCCCGGTCGGAACACGACCTCGTGCTTGCGGTCCTCAGATGTTAACTTGATTTGTAGGAGGTTTGTATGGAACTTCTTCCGCTTAGAAAATGAACACCTCAACAACTGCGGTAAGTTCCGAGCCGTGAGAGATATTTCTGTGGCTCCTATCGACTCCTCCGATCAGTCTCAGATGATCCGCATGATGGACGAGGGAGACGGCGTCGTTCATCGTCGCAAAAAGAAGCCGCCCAAGAAGGCAAAGGAGGAAAAACAGAAATTGTTGTCCGGAGAATCGATCGAAGAAGTCGATAGCTCGGCTTATATAGGAAATCGCTTGTAAATTTATTACGTGACGCTTTCCTACGCAGAATTTGGCCTATAATAGGCTTCTAGGATACTTTGATGTTTTATAGTGATCTTTTCTCGTAACTGAGAGAGAAACTTCGGTGTATTTATTGATTTTATTTTGTAAGATTGTAAACTGTCTTATAGAAAAATTCCATAGTACGTTATGTGTTGCCGAGCGTACGATACTTTGCCATAGTTTACTTTTGAATTTAGATGCGAGAACATGGCAGAAAGTAGTTTAATATCGATTATATTTCTCAAGGTCTTACTTTAAATATATTAGTTTATGTATAAATTAAGTGATATTTTTAATTACAAAAAAGTATAATTTTTGGTGAACGCTGTGTCGGTAATTCATTTATTAAACACGATCCCAGGGATTCGTCCTCAATTGTTGTTTTTTTTTATCTTTTCTCTCGCCACAGTTTCCCAGCCTGGTGATCGGCTACCTTGAATTTCCTTGGTTCAGTCCCTGATTTAGGTGATCCCACAGCAGTCGTAACCTTAAATCGTTCCACTCCGTCTTTTTCCTGATCCCTCATACTAACTCCATGGAGAAGAATCCTTTTTGAGAAGCTTATAGTCGTTCATCAAATTAATAAATTCCCTGTATTTCTTGTAACCCGAAGATTCATTAATGTATTCGTAAGAGCCTTCCACTTGTTCCAATCTGGAGCCAGTGAGAACGGCTCGTGCGCTATTTATTCAAGACCCACGTACAGTTACGTCTCTGAATTGGGCCGTTCCCTAAACGTTTTTGACAAAAAAATTTGTAAGCATCTTCTGTTTCCCATTCTGAATCCTTCTCATTGTTGACTTCATCATCCTACAATAATTTATTCAATGCTGTGTAATTCTTTTCAGTCGAAACATCATTGTTAAATAGCCAACAAAACACCACATGGACGCCAATATGATTTTTTTTTCGAGGGGCATCCAAAATGGGTGCCTAAAAAATTTACGTTTAATATTATTTTTATGGATCTCCGTAGAGTTGTACGTCATAGTTTCGTCATCTTCCCACAAAGTCTTGTTCAAGGCATCTCGTAGTTACGGTGCTTGTAATCTGTGAGATCCCCAAGAAGGTGAGAATGTATCCTAATTTAAAACTTTCTGTGTGTTTACCAGCTGGTAAGGCCACAGACATCTTCAAGGTCTATTGAGGTCATGCAGTGAAAATATTGCGTTAGTAGGTTCTCGGTGTGTGTCTTACTTTCTTGTGTGAATTCGCTACAAAGGCAGGCAAATGTATTTTCGCCGTTTGTTGTCGCCTTGGTCTGCAGTTTTGTAATTGGTGTCTTCGACGTAGCCCGTGTTTACATCCTGGATGTTTTAAAGTGGCATCTGTTGCGACAATGAACCATCACAGGCGTGTTCCATTGTATCACGTAGCAAGCCTGAAGGTTTTAATGCATGTGTGTGTTGTAAATAAAAATTCCCACATTCCTCACTGAGGTGTGTGATGGTTTCCTTGACCTCAGGCTTACACTAGCTGTGAGATAGGACCCTGCCCGGTGGGTGACCTTGCCAGTTGGCTGAACGCAGAATCGTCGTAGCTTTGCTCTTACGTGGATACGTCATTATTTACGAACCATTCTCCGTTACGTTTGATAACCAGAAAGTTGATTGCGACATGTTGTTAACCTAATTTGTTTAGGGGGGGGAGGTTCAGTGCTGAAATTCCTCGAAGTCTTGGCTCTAGAAACCGACATTGTTGCCTGAAAGTTAACTTACGAGAAACAGAGACGCATTCGATTGTTGCATTGTTGGGCGCGGTAAAAATAAATTGTCCTGTAGACAACAATGGAAAATGAAAAAAGTGTTTGCCTTTGGCTTCTTTTATTCTGTTTTGTCTGGATTTCGTTTATGATCATAAAATGCGCGTGTTTTTTTTATCTCTTTAACTAGAAATAATTTAATTTAGAACTAGCGAGTAGAATGCCCATTTTTTTTCTACTTTCTAATCTCACGGCCTTCCTCTTTAACGACGCACATGTGACCCGCCCTTACTTATAAAACTGCTCGTTCTCAGAATTTCACGCTTCGTGAAATTCTTAATCTTGCCAGTGACAAATCTTTTTCTGCGAGCTCGTCGTCATAAATTACTTCAACAATGTCTTTTTTTTGGGGGGGGAAAATGGCGAGAAATTGTTACACTGAATATTTCTTGTATGGAATTTATTCGGCGTTAACAGAATGGCCGATGACATAATGAATGCAGGGATAAGTTGAAAGGTCATGTTTCACCGGTTTCCAGAATATAAATTACCAGTAAGATGTTCCAGGTACACGGCCCAAGGGTAACGAGGTCTAGGAAGACCACGAAAGAGATGGTTTGTGTAACTTCGGAACGTGTCTAATGCGCGAAACCTTGTAAGCTAAGAAGAAGTCTTTCTGATTACCAGTTCTGTGCAATCATCGTGTTTAATTGATACCCAATTAATGTGTCTAATCTTACTTTCACCTCGTAATTACTCAACCGATCAACTCCCCTCCACGCCTTTTATGGAACACGAGAGTTTATTACCGTGCTCACAAAAGCCCTCCACTTGATACTGTCATGAGTCTGTTGAATCCAATCAACACCCTCTTTATGTAAGATCAATTTTAATATTATCCTCGTATCTTCCTTCCTTTTACGCCCAAATATTCTTCTCGGGTTCCTACGTCAATGCGTTTTTTATCACGTAGAGTGAGAAAACAATTTTCAGTTTTAAAATTATAGTTTCGTTTGTTACAAGGTTCAATGTCTGTGACGTTATTTTGAATCGTAAGAAACTTGTATATGATAGTAAATGTTCTAGATGAAAGAAACTGGAATCATTGTCGAAACGTTTGTGTGATGCAGTAATTTAAATATTTATTTTGAGCTGTGAAGACACGAAAGGCAATGGAGGCCTTTGGGCTATGAGAATAACAAAGGAGTTTAACTGAACTATATAAAATCATGCATACAAACAAAACTGTTTACACTTAGTGCCAAACGCGTTTCGACATGAAGAGGTCATCATCATTACTAATGAATTAATATTTTTGCCACTGATGATGACCTATTGAGGTCGAAACGCGTTTGGCACTAATTGTAAACAGTTTTGTTTGTATGCATCATTTTATGTAGTTTAGATAAATATTCGACATCGCGCGGTATGGAAGGTTTTTTAACAAGTTAGGTTATGTTAGGTTATGTTGTTATTCTTGGAAAGTGATGGAAAGTGTGATGCATTAATTAGTTTCCAAGTGAAAGAAGGAAGTGACGATAAACGCTTTCGACAAATTGATGTGAACGTCGTAATATGTGCGATGTACAATCGAGGCGGCAACCCGCTCTCGGCTGTGTTCTCGATTTTGAAATGAGGGCATATTTCATCAGTAAGTGCAGTGGATTGAAGGTTTTTTTGTGTGTAAGTGATAAAAAGTACGCTCCTCGCAATGCCTTGCATCTAGCAGTCGACACGAGAGGTCTCCGTCCGATTTAAGTCGAACTTTTATATCCCATCACGTTCATTATTACACTGAAAGTGTTGTTGAAGCAGAGTTGGCTAGAAGTTTCGAACACACGATCGTAAAAATTACAGGAAACATTTGCATAATTCTTTGACAGAGAAAGATAATGTGTGGTACAAGAAGTTCATTGTCCCATGGAGCTAGTTAAGAAAGGGTCCGAAGTGGCCCCCTCATACGTTCTACGGTTTGAAGCAAAACATTGCAAAAGAAATGTGATTATATTTCGAGTATCTGCAACTCTCATGCCACAGGCAGGAAGATGAGACCATATGTTAAAATTACTTCCGTGTCAGATCACTGGGCCGTATTCTATCTTTGCTCGCATCTCATTGGCTGTCTGTAAGTAAAAATTCAACTGCTATTGGTCGGTTGAAGAATGCTGGCGCACACAGAGGGAAAGGTATAAATGGAACCCGGATTCAGTAGTTGAATAAATCTCTTTATATTCGTTTTATTCTTTAGTAAACTTAAATGTTACGTTGTGGTTTCGCGACGGTAAAAGATCCCATTATTGCGACTACTAAACGTAGCGTGTACAGTGACATTTCTTTTTAAGGAAAATTAATTAACATGTTGACGATTTAAGGTTACCAACAATGTTGTCATTTCCAGACAGTTTTCTCATAGCTGAACGAATCGTATTCGAAAGAAGATAATTTTGTAGAGACATTTTCAAACAAGGTACTAAAAATTTAATAGCATTTGTCGTGAATCTGTTAACCTTATGATAAAGTTTGAATGTCTGATGTAACAATGATAACATCCTGAAATTGTTTCCGTGTGACTTGTCATTGTTGCTACACGGCTTTGTTACGTAAGATTTATTCTTTGGTATTTCCTACGATGATGTTTGTGTACAGAACTCTTAGAAAAAGTTTTAACTTTTCATATTATAATTCTTTTCGGCCATTGTTGGCAGACTGTGGGAACGGTCGTGCAATTTGTAGAGAATTGGCGCCTTTGTATCAGGGTCAGGTGAGACAGGGAAATGAAACCGCCCACGGCGGTACATCGCTTGTGTTCTTGCGTGGTCCATTTGCCTGTCTGGATGGAACCAGTGGGTTCTGGTTCGATCCAGCACGCGGTTGCAGTGGCGGATCGAACTGTGTTTCAGTACGAATACTTCATATGAGATCTGATTTTCTCACGGCGGTAATTATGGTCTTGGCCTTCTGATTAGCAGCGCGGTGTAGACTTGTAAGTAATATACCAACATTTCGGAGGAACATTCTGCCTCCATCTTCAGCCTTGAAGAGCAACGTATACAAAAATACTTTGTTCTAAATAATAATTACGACGCAAATCAGATGCGATCCCACAAAATAAACTGTGTAGTTCACAGAAAATTTGTGGAAAGAAATAAGTGTTTTAATTTTGTAGAAAGAAAATTCTGAATTTTAGTTTCGAATTTAAAATTTATTGTGCATGAAAATTAAAATTGTATTTATTGTGTCGTGTCTAAAAGTACGTTTTATTTGTTTTGCATTTCGCCTGTCTGTGTTTAAATTATTTTTATAAAGAAACTCGTGTTTATTTAAGAAGTTGCGAGAAATTTCCAAGAAATCATTGCGTTAAGAAATAAATAATCGAGGTTCCTTTAAAAATAAATCGAATGAAAAATTGTCTGTCCTAGTCCAATTCTAATCTCAGAATAAAAAAAAAACAAATTCCACTGTTTCCTCTACAGTTTGTGTCTTTACGCCACTGAAGACAAATGGCGTATAATTTACGTCGTGTTGGGAACTTACGCAATAAGAAATAATGACAGTGGTTTTCAGTGGGATGAGGCCGATTATAATGTAGTTTAATTCGCTAGGCGGAACAATTGTTAATTCCCATC